CCCGGGCGGACCGGCAGGACAGGCTGTGGGGGTGGGGCTGCAACAAGGCCTTAGAGGTCAAGTCTGAGACACTGAAGCTGTTCTGGGGGAGCCCTCCATGTTCCCCTCTTTAGGGTCCTTCCAGGAACTCTTCCAACTTGTGAACTTTGGACATGGCCCTGCATCAAAGCTGCTGGCTTTATGAAAAGCGCAGCTCAGAGAGCGTGGAGTCTGCGGTGGTGCCGACCCTTGGGCTGTGAGCCCAGTGGGGACTTGCTCAAGGTCCCTAAGGAGTCAGGACCAGGGTGCCCCAGCTCCTAACGGTGCCCCCCTTCCTCACCCAGGCCCTTCCAGCCCTGCTCTCTGGGCTGCCTTTTGCTCTTAGGTTAGATAATCCTTTCCTGGACTCACTGGCCAGGGCTCTGCGGTCCTTAGTCTTTGGTACTGAGGAGGTGACAGCACTGAGGAGACCCCAGAATCTCGGACACAGAGCCTGGACAGTCCCAGGCGCAGGAGAGAGAGCTTTGCCGCCAGACTCAAGTGCAAGCTGCTCTGGCCACTCTGCTCCTGTGATCCTGCGCGGGTCACTGACCTCAGCGTGTGGGCCTCTTCATCCCTGCGGTAATACCTGTTGCAGGGGACTTTGTAAAGAAGATCGATTTTGCAGTATTGGTATGTGGATTAGCCAGAATGTTGGGAAGTACAGCAAAGGAGGCCAGTAAGTGATGCCTGCCACGGTTATGCTCTCGGTAATCACACCACGATGCTCCAGGGAGAGCCGGGACAGCTCCGGGCGCTCCGGGTGCGGTTACTGCTCCTGAGATGAGATTCGTCTGACATCTCGCGCCCTCACAAACCCCCCAGGGAGGAAACCGACGACAGTGGCAAGAACTAGTTCTAGAAAGAAACCCAGAGCAGAGACAGCAAGTGGTGTGGTAGTGAAGGTGCTGGACTCCCACATGGTGGACTGTGGTTCGAGTCCTGGACCAGGCTTGAAAATCACACCAGGTGCGTGTGCATGCGTGCCCCAGATCCCTAGAGAATGGAGAAGGGATCGTGCAGTGGCCATCCCCTGTGGAAAGATCTCTCACTTTCCCTCTTTCTGCCTCTTTCCTTTCTGGCAAGCACACATGCCATATGGCAAAAACCTAAAAAACAGAAACAAAACAAAAACCAGAGAAAACACACACACATACACATGCTAGAAAAAAGAAACCAAACACACAAACCCTTAAACATTCAGTTTCACGACACAGTTTTAAGTGATAGGTGCATCCTTGGAAGATGGCTCTGGCCCCAGTGGTGTGCGGGGCAGAGACACCTGCATCTCGGGGTACTCCCAGTTCATCCTCTGGAATAAGCACAGAGTATTAGTGGAGAGCAGCAGACCGCTGGGGAAGCTGGGCCATGGAGCTTCATGCTGAGGAGGCCTGGGGAGGAGTCTCTTTTCCCATGACCTTTTTCTTTTCTTTTTTAAACCTTTTTTTCCATGAACTTTTAAAAATAATTATTTTATTTTCTTTCATTATGTTACTATTATTATTTTAATCTGTCCAGAGGGAAACAGAGGAAAAGTGAGAAAGCAAGCTGTCAGGTCCAGGACTTGAACCATGGTCCGCCACATGGGAGTCCAGCCCCCTACCACAAGGCCACCTGCTGACCTTCTGATAACCTTTACAGCTCACATCACATAAACCGTAAATGGGCTAGAGAATCTGGTTTTAGCAGTTCATGTTACGAGTTTTAAGTTTTTGCTTTGCAGGCAAACTGAGGTTTATTAACAAGTGAACCCATTTGGTGAGTTTAAATTTTCATCATCAGAATAAAGATTTTTGGTAAACTGCGAACAAAAGCATGGCTTTTCTTCTCTGGCCACTGGAGGGCGTACGGGGACCACTGCAGATCCTGCTCCGCTGGATGGGCGGCCGCTCCCACCTCTTGGGTGCCACACGGGCAAACTCTACCTGCTCTGCGCAGGTACATGATGTTTAAAGGACCGCCTCGGTGACACGAGTTACAGTGCATCATTTTCCCTGGGCGCCCAGGTGGAGAGCCGCCTGAAAGTGACGCTTACGCCCCGACTTCTTCCCTTGGAGGGACAGCGGTAGCTGACTGCTAAACATATGCTGGCCCTCGCCTAAAGGTGTCGTCTGTGTCCTCCCTGGCTGCCTGAGGATGTCCGCCATCATGAGTGACACAGTGGCTATCGAACCAGGGAAGTCACGACCCCCCGACAGCGAAGCCACACCGGGCGTCATCTCCCGGTTCGGATTCCGAACCCATCTGGCGGCGGCGGCGGCAGGACAACCGCTTTGGCATGATTGACGATTCTTTGGGTCATGCGAAGAAAAGTGGACCCGAACACAGACTCACAAGACGTGACCTCTATGAGAAGAAAAGGACGTCAAGAAAACACGAAAGGCGCGCGCAGTGAGGACAGTCGGGGCGCAGAGGGGTCCGAGGAGGAAAGACCGCGGTGCCCGGCTGCGGCGGCGAGACGATGAGTAAACTCAGAATGTCCATGTGAAAAAAAGTGTCATCTTGTTTATTCCTCCTGGTGAGACTAAGAAGCCACATCCATTTTGTAAAAGAAGGCATTAAACTAACAACAAAAACTCAAACACAAACAGGCAACTCATCCAGAGCCCGACTCCCTGTTTTCTGGGATGCTACACGTGGGTCATTTTCTGCCTGACCTATCCCAGTAGCTCCAGAGCACACAGCAGGAGAGTTCCAGAATGTTCCCAGGGTACCAGGCTGGGTCAGGGTATTTGCTGGGTAGCTGACAGTGTAGGACAGATATCTAGACTGATCCGTAGCTGAAGTGTCTATTTCATCCGCAGACCTGTCTTTGGCCAAGAGAATCACCCCTAAGCATTCAATTATTTGCTCACTGATGATGACCAAGGCCACAGTTGCTCGACTTCTTGGTCCCCAGATAGACACACACTGCCTGCTGCCATGGCCCTCGGTGCCCTGCAGGACAGACCCCCAGCCCATGGCCTTCGGTGCCCTGCAGGACAGCACCCGCCCTCCCAATGGCACCTCCACAGTGACTGCCGCTCTGCCCCCGCTCAAGAGGCCATGCACTGCCCGGCAGGCTGGCAGCTCTGAGTGGAGCGTGGGACCAGTGGGCCCTGCGGCCATCTGTCCACAGCCCTTCCTCTTTTGCCACCGGTGAAAGCAATGTCGTGTGATTGATCACACTGTACTCCCTAGTCTGGAGAGGCCTGTTGGAATCAACTGTCTCCTCAAGTGACAGGACCAAACTGGAGTTCACCACTGATCTCTGCGGGAGGCTGGGTATTCACCGGTGGGGGCAGCTCACTCAGTCTTGATGGCAAAAGCCCAGGCCTAGGCCTGGTTCTGCTACCACGGCCTCTCCGTGTGCGAGCCCCGGTGCAGGCACTGGGGTGCCGAGGAGGAAGCTGGCTGGCCACCACGTCATCCAGGCGGTCTGGTCCATTTGGTACCCCTTCTTCAGTGGACCTTCTCTGGTGGGCATAAAGCACAATTCAGGGCCAGCAGGTGGCATGGTGGTTAGGGCACTGGACTCTCACATCCATCTGCTGTTCGAGTCCCAGACCCAGAAGCTTGTTTTCTCTGTCTCTCTCTGGTGAGTGCATCTGCCCTCCAGAGCACACAGCAGGAGAGTTCCAGAATGTTCCCAGGGTACCAGGCTGGGTCAGGGTATTTGCTGGGTAGCTGACAGTGTAGGACAGATATCTAGACTGATCCGTAGCTGAAGTGTCTATTTCATCCGCAGACCTGTCTTTGGCCAAGAGAATCACCCCTAAGCATTCAATTATTTGCTCACTGATGATGACCAAGGCCACAGTTGCTCGACTTCTTGGTCCCCAGATAGACACACACTGCCTGCTGCCATGGCCCTCGGTGCCCTGCAGGACAGACCCCCAGCCCATGGCCTTCGGTGCCCTGCAGGACAGCACCCGCCCTCCCAATGGCACCTCCACAGTGACTGCCGCTCTGCCCCCGCTCAAGAGGCCATGCACTGCCCGGCAGGCTGGCAGCTCTGAGTGGAGCGTGGGACCAGTGGGCCCTGCGGCCATCTGTCCACAGCCCTTCCTCTTTTGCCACCGGTGAAAGCAATGTCGTGTGATTGATCACACTGTACTCCCTAGTCTGGAGAGGCCTGTTGGAATCAACTGTCTCCTCAAGTGACAGGACCAAACTGGAGTTCACCACTGATCTCTGCGGGAGGCTGGGTATTCACCGGTGGGGGCAGCTCACTCAGTCTTGATGGCAAAAGCCCAGGCCTAGGCCTGGTTCTGCTACCACGGCCTCTCCGTGTGCGAGCCCCGGTGCAGGCACTGGGGTGCCGAGGAGGAAGCTGGCTGGCCACCACGTCATCCAGGCGGTCTGGTCCATTTGGTACCCCTTCTTCAGTGGACCTTCTCTGGTGGGCATAAAGCACAATTCAGGGCCAGCAGGTGGCATGGTGGTTAGGGCACTGGACTCTCACATCCATCTGCTGTTCGAGTCCCAGACCCAGAAGCTTGTTTTCTCTGTCTCTCTCTGGTGAGTGCATCTGCCCTACAGCAAATTAAAAAAAATAATAATAATTCTTTTTTAGAAAGTGCAGCTCACATTTTGAGTTCACACCCATTGGTCATGTGCCTCTTCTCATCAGATCATGTTGTAATTTGACCCTAGTTATTGCCCTGGAGGGGTCAGCATGCATCTTGGGAAGGATCGTCTTGCAAGTCTCAGTTCCGCACAGTCTCGGGGTGGAAAAGGGTCTGCCTACCACTCGGGAGTGGGCCACTGCTGCCAGTCCAGGAGGTCACGGCCCGTGCCCACATCCTCATCCCAGGCCGTAGGGCTTCCAACGCCCTACCAGGGCCTGCTGGCATGAGGCACCCGGAGTGACCGGTGGCAGACTGACCCAGGCCCTGACGCCTCCTTTCCACCCTTCTCTCAGGCTCTGCCCTTGGCACCTCAGCTCAGTCTGCCTGCCCCGCGGGAGATGAGGGCACAGAGGCCCCCGTTCTCACCCTCAGAGCCTGCCACTCTCCCACCTCGGGGCATCAGTGGGGCTGAGCCACCACCTCCAGGCCCACCAGCCTGATCAGTTCCCCAGCTCTCTCAGCACTGGAGGCACTGCGCCAGCTGCCGCGTCTCTCCACCCGGGTCCAACCCCAGGCTGGATGGTGGTCTCAGCACCCCCGCTGCCCCGTCAGTCAGGGACCGGATGCTCCATGTTCTGCCTAACTCCAGTGGTGGGGTCCTCACTGCCTTCTGGCGCGCAAGTGAGCCAACACCAGCATCCCATCCTTTCTAGAACTTGCCCTGGTGTTATCTGAGGTCAGGTTCCCCCGAGGCAGCCTGTGTAAGTATGTTTCTGAGAAAGGACTTGCAGTGAAAAACCTGTACAGCAGAAGATAGACGGGAAAAAGCAGGTGTAGACGTGGGTGTGGCGGCAGCCTGGCATCGGCCCAGCCCCCTGGAACACAGGGAGCACCTCGGGTGCGTCAGGAGCACTCAGCTTCTAGCAGGCGACAAGCTGCCCTGGGGGTGGATCTTACCCGCAGGCACTTCCTGGCTAGATGGCTGTGGTCAGAGGAAGGCACGTCTCAAAGGGCACACCATGGCCTGTTGTCAGGGAGTGCCACAGCGGCGAGCCGGCTGCATCGGCCTGATAAGGGGCGTTAGCTGCCTCCACTGTGACACTGTATGTGCGGTTTGTAAAGAAGGTGTTGAAGACTTTAATGTTTTGGAGCAGTTTGGGGTTCACAGCAAAACTGAGAGGGAGATTTCCAGGGTACCCGTGTCCCCGCGCCCACACATGCTAACATCCTCCCCATTGCCGACATCCCACCGGAGTGGCAGGACGCCACAGGTGGTGTTCTGGGCCCGCGGCTCACCTCTGGGCTCTTAGTGCTGTCCATCTACGGGCTTGGACACACTGATGACACGCACCCGCTACCACAGTCTCCCGGTCCCCCAGAGGGTGCGTGTGCTAGTCAGAGACGGAGAGGGGGAGGCGCCCGCGCAGGGTGTCGTCACGCGGCCGTCCCTCCTCCGTGCATTTGGGACATGCACGCACACACGCTTCGGCTGTCAGCCGGGTGGGACCTGGTGCCCTTAGTCACCATGTCACAGGGCTGGCCCCGGGTCGCTCACTCTCCTGAAGGCTGATGGTGCTCGACCTTTCCTCGCTACCCTCCACACTGATGCCTGCAGCCGCGGATCTTTTTGCTGTCTCTGTGGTTCTTTTCCAGAATGTCATATACTTGGGACAGGATGCACACAGCTTTTCAGAGCGGCTTGTTTCACTCGATAACACCATTAAGGTTTCTCTAGGTCCGTTCAGACTGTTACGATAGCGTGTGCATGAGGGAGAGGGGTCTCATCCTCAGCAGGGCCTCGCATTGCCACGGTCCCCTTCCCCAGCCCCCCAGTTCCTCGGCACCCTGGGCACCCGCGGATGCCTGGCTTGTGCTCAAGTTCACCTGGGACTCAAACCCACCGGCGGCCGTGCGGCTCCCAGCACCAGGGAAGGCACTACAGGCTGCGCCGAGGCCGAGCCTCCTACCTGGGTGAATGACTGGCTTGAGTGCGGAGCAGTACTCTGTGGGCTGCACACTCCCCATTCACTCACTAAAGGACCTTCTGCTGCTCCCACGTTTGAGCTCTTCTACAGGAAGCTGCTACGAACACCCAGGTGCAGGTTTTCGTGTGGAGAAGAGTTCTCTTCTTCTTTTGGTAACTACCAAGCACAAGTGCTAGATCGTGTGGTAAAATCAGTTAGCTTCATGACAGACTGTCGAGCTCTTGCAAAGGGGTCACACCTGCACAGTTGGTATGGACGCATGGTTCGCCCTGTGTCCTGCAGTCCTGCGGGTTCAG